GAGATAAGAGTCTCATGGACTTTTCTGCCTGGGCTGGCTTTGAACCGTGATCATCAGATCTCAGCCTTCTGAGTAGCTAGGATTACAGGTGTGAGCCACCGGCACCTGGCCTTTTTGTTTTTTGTTTTTGTTTTTGGTCCGTCCTAGGGTTTGAACTCAGGACCTTGGTGCTGTCCTTGAGGTCTTTTTGCTCACTTCCAGTTTTTGAGTGGTTAATTGAATATAAAAATCTCACAGGGACTGTTTTGCCTGGGCTGGCTTAGAACAGTGATCCTCAGATCTCAGCCTCTAGAATAGCTAGGATTACAGGTATGAGCCACCAGTACCTGGCTAGTACAGGGTGCTTTTAAGTCACTTGAATGTATTAATTTGACTTTTGTGTTTGTATGTGTGTGCTGGCCCTGGGGCTTGAATCCAGAGATGGTGCTCTCCTTGAGCTTTTCAGATTCAAGGCTAGTTCTCTGCCACTTGAACCACAGTTCTACTTCCAGCTTTTTGCTGGTTAATTAGAGGTAAGAGTCTTACAGACTTTCCTACCTAGGCTGGCTTCAAATTGCAGTCCTCAGATCTCAGCCTGCTGAGTAACTGGGATTACAGGTATGGGCAACTGGTACCCAGCTCAATTGAATTTTTTTTTAAATTTAATTTTATTTTTGTGAACATACTGTACAGAGGGGTTACAATTACATGGGCAGGATAATGCGTACATTTCTTATCAAGCATTGCAGCCTCCTCCTTTGTTTACCCTTCACATCCCTTCACAGCATTCCCCCCACCCCCCACCCAATACTCCCCCCCTCCCCCCCAATTGAATTCTTTTTGAGATCTGTGCTTAGCAAATCTGATAGGACTTTTTCCCCCACCTTTAATCAAGATTATTCTTGTAATGACCAGAAGGGGGCAGCAGATACTTTCTCTAAACCTGTAAAGCATCCACAGGCAAACTACCTGCAAAAGTAGTGGCTGTGTTCTGTGGCAGGGGTGGGGAACATGACTTCGAAAGTCGGGACCTGTGGGTTGGAGGTGGCAGTCAGTGGAACACTAGCCAGTGAGCAAAAGCATCAGGTGCTGAGTTCGCGTTTCTATGTCAGAACCCACCTGACCTCCCCAAAAGAGTTGAGATCTGAAAGGGGAAAGAAAGCAGGCAGAGCACGGTGCACACATGCCACAGACAAAACGTAGAGATTCGCTGGCGCCCAGTACTGGCAAAAACCAACAAAACCAGTTATCTCTCACCAAGTAGAACCCCTGCCCTGACTCCCTGTGTTGTGCTGATGGCAGCTGTTGGTGGATCAAGAGGAAACGCAGGTGTCCCTGAGGTGTGGATCTGTTTGCTTTGGGGGAGGAGAGGAGACAGGCCAGGATCTCAGATGTGAAAGGACCAAAGTCCCCCAACAGCAGAAGGCCAGTGACCCAACGGCGGCTCAGTTTGGATCAGCAAGATTGCTATGCCAAGCCTATGACACGGGCACGGTTTAGATTCTTCTGAAGTCAGAGAAAAGGTGGACTTTCAGGTTGAGAAAATGTTTTGTTTTTTGTTTTTGGTGTGTGCGTGCTGGTCCTGGGCTTGAACTCAAGACCTGGGCACTGTCCCTGAGTTTTTTTTTGCTCAAAGCTGCCGCTCTACTACTTGAGCCATAGCTCACTTCTGGCTTTTTGGTGGTTTGTTGGAGATAAGAATTTCTGTCTGCTTGGGCTGGTCTGGAACCTTGATCTTTTAAGATCTCTTCCCCTTGAGAAAAAAAAAATTTTTTTTATAAGGCATTGCTTCCCACCTGGGCATGTGCCTAGACCACGGTCCTCCTAGTTTATATTTCCCACGGTAGCTGAGATAGAAGGCATGTACCACCATGCCCGGCTTCTTCCACTGACATAGAGTCTTTAGAAAATTTTTTTCTCTTTGCCCTATCTGGCCTGGATATGTGATCCCCAGATCTCAGCCAGGATGACAGTGTGAACCATGCCCAGCTATTGGTTGAGAAGAAATCTCGTGAAACTTTTGCCTGGGCTGGCTTTGAACTGTGATCTTCCTGATATCAGCCTTTTGAGTAGGTGGGATGACGGGAATTGTGCTGGGCAGTTTCATTGTGTGTGTAGAAGAGAGAAACAGACAGAGCGTTCTGGGGCTCAAACTTAGGGCCCTGTGCTTGATTCTCAGATCTTAGCCTCCTCAGTAGCTAAGATTATGGACATAAAGCACCAGAGCCTTATGGATTTTTATTTATTTATTTTTATTGTTGTTAAAACTGATCTTTCCTGGGCTGGGAAGGTGGCTCAGTGGTAGAGTGCTTGCCTTGCATGGACGAGGCTCCGGGTTCAATTCCTCAGCACCACCTAAGCAGAAAAAGCACGGTGCTGTGGCTCAAGTGGTAGAGTGCTAGCCTTGGCTGAAGAGCTAAGGGACAGTGCCCAGGCTCAGGCCTCACAATGGACAAGAAAAAACACAAAACGATCTTTCCCTGGGAAAGCACATGAACCATGAGTTAGGCCCCCTTCGCTGCTCTTCAAACATTCTTTCTTTCTTTGTGTGGGTGCTGGGGTGGTGAGCTCAGGGCCTGGGCGCTGTCCTTGTTAGAATGTAGAGCTCAGCTTGAGAAGGTGCCCTTCCGGAAGCCTTGGTTTGGGCCTCACACACACATCCAAGCTCTTTATCTTGTTGGGGTTCTGCCCGGGGCCCTGGGAGAAAGGTGCAGAAGGATCATTTCCTTGTGGGTAAAATAAGGAAATCAGTCATTGCTCTGTTTGTTCTGGCAGAGGCCTGAAGGTAGCAACCCAGGAGGGTGCTGGGCACCGGGCCACCCACAGTTCCAGCACCAGCGAGCCCAGGGCTAGACCCAGCCTCCAGCATCCCAATGGCATGGCCATGGCCTGCTCTCATCGTGGCTGGCCAGGCCCAGAGCGTGGGACTTCCACTGCTTCCGGAAGTGAAAAAGTCAAGTGAAAGTGTGAAGTTCAAGCGTCAGTACTGGCATGCACAGACACACGCACACACATGCACACAGACGGAAATTGAGAGCTAATGGAAGTGTTTAGTGGGAGGAAATTGGCTCAATAAATTGCATCACGGACAGACGATTTCAGTGCCATTGAAGTACAGTCCTGAAACAGAGAGCTGTGGGATTCCACCCTTTCCCAAGTGAATCCGGGTAAATAATTGCAGAGACAGAAGATTGTCCACAATATGGATTCATGGGGAACTTCCAGGCCAGAAACACGCCAGGAGAGGCGAGCGCTCGTGCTGGTGGAGAAACAGGAAGGGTCATTTCTTATTTAATACCCAGTGCTGTCAGGAGACGAACAGAGAGAAAGAGCAAAGCGCCAGCCCCTGTCCCCGCCCGCCCAGCCCTTTGTACTTTATTTTGTGTGTGTGTGCCAGTCCTGGGCACTGTCCTTTGGCTTTTTTCTTGTTGTTGCCATTCCTGGGGCTTAAATTCAGGGCTTTACTCTCTGTGCTTAAGGCTAGCGCTCTACCACTTGAGCCACAGCGCCACTTCCGGCTTTTTCTGTGTATGTGACACTGTGGGATCAAACCCAGGGCTTCATGCATGCGAGGCGAGCGCTCTACCACTAACCCCCTTCCAAGCTTCCCTTAGCTTTTTCACTCAAGGCTAGTGCTCTGCCGCTGAGTCACAGCTCTACTTTTGGCTTTTTTGGTGGATAATTGGAGATCAGCATCTCATGGGCTTTCCCGTCCTGGGCTGCCCTCAAACTCAGCTCTCAGTCTCCTAAATAGCTAGGATTACAGCTGTGAGCCATAGAGGCCCAGCCCATCTATACACACATAACATGTACTGTGTGTGTGTGTGTGTGTGTGTGTGTGTGTGTGTGTGTGTGTGTGTGTGTGTGTGTGTGTGTGTGTGTGTGCGTGCTGGTCCTGGGGCTTGAACTCAACATCTAGGCATTGTCTCTGAGCTTCTTTTGGCATAAGGCTAGTACGCTGCGCTTTTTTTGTGCCAGTCTTGGGGTTTCGAACAACTCAGAGCCTGAGCACTTCCCCTTAATTTTTTCATTCAAAGTGAACACTCTACCACTCTAAGCCACAGCTTCACTTCTGGTTTTCTGGTGGTTAATTGGAAATGAGTCTCACAGGGACTTTCCTGCCCAAACTGGCTTTGAACCATGATCCTCAGATTTCAGCCTCCTGAGTAGCTAGCTAGGATAGCAGACATGAGCCACTGGTGCCCAGACCTGTATTTTTTTTTTTTTTTCTGGTCGTGGGTCTTGAACACTGGGCCTAGGCACTGTCCCTGAACTCTTTAGCTCAAGGCGAGCACTCTACCACTTGAGCCACAGCACCACTTTTCGTTTTCTGGTGGTTTATTGGAGATAAAGAATCTCACAGACTTTCCTGCCTGGGCTGGCTTTGAACCATGATCCTCAGATCTCAGCCTCCTGAGTAGCTAGGATTACAGACTGAGCCACTGGTGCCCAGCTAGTGTGTGTGTGTGTGTGTGTGTGTGTGTGTGTGTGTGTGTAGCATGAAACCAAGGCCTTATGCCCATTCAGCTTGTTCACAGTTGGTGCTCTACCACTTGAACCATAGCTCCAGTCCAGCTTTTTGCTGGTTATGTGGAGACTTTTCTGCCCTGGCTGACTCTGAGCCCTCTAGACCTCAGCCTCTTGAGTAGCTAGGATTGCAGGCGTGAGCCACTGGCACCTGGCTATAGATTGCCTTGTAAAACTGACAAGTACAAAAAAATAATTGGTGAGGAAGAGAGGGGAGAAGGCTTCCAAGTGAATGAGGCCATCAGAGGAAATTAGAAGCCTGGACGTTTTTATAGTCAGTGTCTCTTTGTTTGCGGTCTGGAAGCTGGGCTGGGTGAGGTTGGCTGATCTCCCCGTGTTTGTGGTTTGGGGGTGGTGCTGGGGAACACTGAGGAGGGCGGGGGAGGGGCTGAGGATGCCCTGGGCTGGGCAGGAGCAGGCCCCGCGTTGCTCTGGGCACCTAGAGATGCGGCCCAGAGATACTTGAACGTCAGGGTCAAAGTCTTCATTTATAGGCTTGGGGGAGTTAATGTGTAATATATGGGGTATAAACTGGACCCTGAGAGGGGACCCTGAGCTGGGCGTCGGAGGAGCAGCCGCGGGGAGCAGCCGCCATGCCGGTGAGAGCCACCCCTCGCTCACCGCCCTCCCTCCGTCATCTGTCTTCGCTGGGGTGGGGGTGGGGTGCCTTGGGATATAGTACCTCCTCTCTGTACCTCAGTTTCCCCACCCACATGGCCAGGGTGTTGGCAGTGATCTCCACGGCCTCTAGCCTCTGGGTCTCCCTTGGAGCCTCTGCCTGCCTTACCTCTCCAGCCTGCTTTTTCCTCATCCTAACAGTAGTAGTAATAATAATAGTAGTAATTGGTAATAAGTTATATAATGCTCACTCTCTGGAGTCTTTTTGTGTCTTTTGCCAGTTCTGAGGCTTGAGCTCAAGGGCCTGGGTGCGAGCCCCTAGCTTTTTTGCTCAAGGCTGGTGCTCTACTACCTGAGCCACACCTCTACTTCCCATTTTTTGCTGGTTAAAGATAAGATTCTCACAGACTGTCCTGTCTGGGCTGGCTTTGGAACTCAATCCTCAGATCTCAGCCTCCTGAGTAGCTAGGATTAGATGTGTGAGCCACCGGCGCCCGACGTCTGTTGAGACCTATGAAAGGGCAGCGGCAGAGGCAGGGTGCGGCTCAGCACCATCGGAGCTCTGCGCTGGACCCCAGCACACCCCCTCCCACCCCTCAGAGATGAAACTGCCATGCTCACAGCCTGCAAGGGCAGGGAGGGGATGGGGGCAGCGCACCGTCTTCTTTTTTTGTCAGTTATGGGGCTTGAACTCTGGGCCTGGGCGCTGTCCCTCGGCTCTTCGGCTCCAGGCTAGCGCTCTACCACTTGAGCCACAGCGCCACTTCCAGTTTTCTGAGTGGTTTATTGGAAAGAAAAGTCTCAGGGACTCTCCTGTCCAGGCTGGCTTTGAACTGTGATCCTCAGAACTCAGCCTCCTGAGTAGCTAGGATTACAGCGTGAGCCACTGGTGCCTGGCAAGTGCACTGTCTTCTTTCTGTCTTCTCTGCCATGGTTCTGTCCAAAAAGATGAGCAAGATAAGCCTCGATCTGGAGACCCACAAGTCTCCTCTGACATAGAGGAGAGCTTCGTTTCCTGAGGCGGTGGAGGGGAAGTCTGGTATCTGGGCAGGCAGGGTGTACTCTCTGCAGCCGGGAGGACAGGAGGTGTCACCTTCTAGCTTCTGGTGGCCTCGGGTGACCCTTGCCAGCCCTCAGCTTGCAGCGGCATGATGGCTGTTTCCGCCCTCTGCCTGGGGCCTGCCTGCCTTCAGTGGCCCTGTGACCTTAGGTCCAGATGTTGCTCCTCTTGAAGAACATCAGTCATATCTAATTTAGAACCACTCTACCAGTGTAACTTTGTCTTCACCAGACAATATCTGCTAGAACCCTGATTTAATTTGTTGTTGTTGTTGCCGGTCGTGGGACTTGAACTCTGGGTTTGGGCACTGTCCCTGAGCTCTTCAACTCAAGGCAAGCACTCTACCACTTGAACCACAGCACCACTTCTGGTTTTCTGGTCGTTTATTGGAGATAAGAATCTCGTGGACTTTCCTGCCTGGGCTGGCTTTGAACTGTGATTCTCAGATCTCAGCCTCCTGAGTAGCTAAGATTACAGGTGTGAGCCACTGGTGCCCAGCTAATTTGTGTGTGTGTGCGCACACACACACATGCACATGCACGCGCACATGCAGTTCTAGGGCTTGAACTCAGAGCCTGAGCACTGTCTCTTAGCTTTTTCTGCTCAAGACTAGTGCTCTACCACCTGAGCCACGCTGGCTTTTTTTTTTTTGGTAGTTAATTTGAAATAAAAGTCTCAGAGACTTTGCTGCCTCAGTTAGCTTCACACCTCAGACCTCAGCCTCCTGCGTAGCTGGGATTATAGGTGTGAGCCACTGGTTTGCTTTGGTTTTTGTTTTTGTGCAGTGCGGGGGACAGAACCCAGGGCCCTATGCAGGCAGGCAGATGCTCTTCCAGTGAGGCTCATCCCCAGCCCAACGAGCATTTTATTATTACCTCAACAAACCAATAAAGATAAATCTGCCCGTTATAGATGAAGTGAGGTGTCACAGATCTGGACAGATTCACATCTGGGCTTACAAACAGTTCATAGGTTGGCCAGGCCGTGGTGGTTCACACCTAGTAATCTAGCTACTCAGGAGGCGGAGATCTGAGGATTGTGGTTTGAAGCCAGCCTGGGCAGAAAAGTCCAGGAGACTCTTATTTCCAATTAACCTGAAAACTGGAAGTGGAGCTGTGGCTCAAGCGGTAGAGCGCTAGCCTTGAAAAAAAAGAATCTCAGGGATAGTGCCCAGGCCTTGAGTCCAAGCCCTATGACTGGCACACACATACCAAGTGTAGGATGGCTGTTTTCTGGCCGGGCTGGGGCAGCGCAGAGTGGAAGGATCAGAGGGGGATGCAGGGGGCCCAGACAAGAGGCTCCGACTTTCTCCTTGCAGGGCGGTGCCCTCCAGTGGGCAGGGACGGTGATCCTGGGCACATCCCTGGGCACACAGGTGATGGGTTTTCTGTGGTTTCCCCAGTGGAGTTTTCTCTGTTGGCACAGGGAACACTGGAGCTCACAAATATGGACATGAAGCCAGGGACAACCCTGAAGCTCAAGGGGCGCATCGCCAGCGATGCGAGCAGGTCAGCGCGGTGGGTGAGGGAGGAGGTGTGCCTGGGCCGGGAGCGGGCAGGGCGGCACCGCGAAATGACCAGATGCCACAGCCTGTCCATCCTCGCCCCTCCCTTGCTCCTCCCCGACCCCATCTGAGGCTGGCTTTGGGGGCTGCCCCATGCTCTGCTCCTTGTCCAGTGGGCAGCGACGGGGCAGCTGAAGCCCCGGGGGGGGGGGCCCTGCTGAGTTCCTCCAGCGCAGGCTACCGGCGGGCAGCCAAGGCCTGGCTTGCAGGCTGCCCCTCCCCAGGCTGAGCATGCCGGGCAATCCCTGATCTCTATGCACCAAGGGCAGGGGAGGGGCAGGCAGGCAGCAGGTGCGACCCAGAATGTCCCATCCCCAGGGACCCCCGAGGGTGGGTGCCATCCCCAACAGCCTCTCTGCTGCCAAAGGAGAGGGGTCCGCACCGCTGACGGGGTGTCGCCCCCCCCATTTCAAGACCTCCCCGAACACATTTTTCCAGCCGTTCTTTCAGCCTGTGGTCAACTGTGCCCCTCACCTGTGACCCCCCCCCCAGCTTCACCATTAACCTGGGACAGGACAAGAACCAGCTGAATCTGCATTTTAACCCCCGCTTCGGCGAATCTACCATTGTCTGCAACTCATTCAGTGGCGGTAGCTGGGGACCAGAGCAAAGGGACAGTAACTTGTGTTTCAGCCCAGGGTCAGAAGTCAAGGTGAGTTCAAGGGGAAAGGGTAGGGAAAATACCAAAGGGAGACCCCGCCTCGCCCCACACCATCTGTGCCAGAGCTGTTTTTGTCACAAGGTTTCTCCTGCTTTTCAGGGTTTTTTTTGGTGTTGGTCATAGAGCTTGTATTCAGGCCTGGACACTGGCCCTGAGCTTTTTACTTTCTTTATAATTGGTCAAGAGGCTTGAACTGTGGGCCTGGGCACTGTCCCTCAGCTCTTCAGCTCAAGGTGAGCACTCTACCACTTGAGCCACAGCACCATTTCCGGTTTTCTGGTGGTTTATTGGAGATAACTATCTCTCAGACTTTCCTGTGGGCTGGCTTTGAACTGAGATCCTCAGATCTCAGCCTCCTGAGTGGCTAGGATTACAGGCGTGAGCCATCAGTGCCGGGCTTTTTTTGCTCAAGGCTAGTGCTCTACTACTTGAGTCACAGCTCCACTTCTGGCTTTTTGCAAATTAATTGGAAGGAAGTCCTTCCCAGGCTGGCTTTGAACCACGATGCTCAGATCTTAGCCTCTTGGGTAGCTGGATTACAGGCGTGAGCCACTCACTGGAGCCTGACTTTTTTGTGTGTGTTGGGACTGGGGCTTGAACTCAGGGCCTCATGCTCTCACTTGGCTTTTTTTGCTCAAGGTTGGCGCTCTGCCACGTAAACCACCCCTCCACTTTCAGCTTTTTGCTAGTTAATTGGGGATGAATCTCTCAAGAGCCTTTCCTGCCAGGGCCACCTTTGCGCTGTGATCCTCGGATATCAGCCTCCTAAATAGAGTAGCTGGGATTCCGGCATGAGCGACTGGTGCCCGGCTTCCTCCCGACCTGTCGCCCTTCCTTCCACTGCAGATCACTGTGACTTTCCAGAAGGATGAGTTCAAGGTGACCTTACCAGATGGGTACCAGCTGACCTTCCCCAACAGGCTGGGCCACGACCACGTGAGCTACCTGGGCCTGGACCAGCTTCACCTCTCCTCTTTCAAGCTGGACTGAGCAGCTGCAGCAGGTTGGAATAAAAGCCCTGGACTTGGGACCCCATTTGCAGCCTTTCTCAAATCCCACGAGGGCCAGTGGCCCAGGGGTCCTGGGTAGATTCCTCCATTACCACCGCCCATCATTCCTTCTGGTACCCTCTCCTCCTGCCCCCCAGTCAAAACAAAACCAAAGAATTCACTGTGCACCTTCTTCACGGTGTTCTGTTAGTGCTGCAGGCTTTGTTGTTGTTTTTTAATGCTCCTGATATTTTCATGACACAGGGAGGAAACTGAGGCACAAGGGCACAGCACTGCCCAGTGGGGAGTGCTCCCAAAAAGCCAGAAGTGTGTGCGGGGGTCCCCTGCCTCCCTCTGGCATCCTGTGGGGAGATGTGGGCTCCAGGCACCTGGGGCAGGGGCTGTTCCAGGAACTGCAGATAAGCCTGCACCTGGGCACCCTGCTTATCACAGGAATTCCAGCCTGGTTACTCATTACCGGACCTGGGGCCCCCTCCCTGGGGGCCCTGGGCTCTCCAAACTCCCAGGAAGGGAAAGGGCATCTTGGACAGGGCTGGGTGGAGGGGGAGGAGGGGGGGGGGAAGAAGCCGGAGCCCTAGCTTCTTGCCTGGCATCTTTTATCAAAAACAACAAGAAGAAAAAAGCCTTAATAATTAAAACAGAACAAAACAAAACCCAGGCCCCAGAAGCAGATCTGGGGTACAGAGGAAAGAGAAAATAGGGTCACTGCAGTCTTTTCTCTGCCCCCTCCCACCCACAAGTAGGGCTGAGGGGGGGTGGCAGGCAGTGGTGACCCTCTGGGACAGGTGTCCCACTGGGAGCAGAGACAATGGCCTTGTGTAGTTCAGGCCCCCCCTTTGCCCCACAGGGCAGCGTCATGGGGCACAAAGGCCACTCTGTGGGTCTGAACCAGTCAGTGGGGGTGGCCTGGGGTGGGGCCTAAGAAAGAGCTACTGGGCCGTTAGTATTGGGCCGGGGGGTGGGGGGGGTGGGGCTGGTCATCTGGGCTGGGACACTGGATCCCAGGACAAGCTGGGACTCTGTCCACCCTCTTGTGCCAGAGGATTTGGGGAAATTTGGGGTCTCCTAGCTCATCTGATAGGACCCAGCTGTTGCGGGGTACGCTCAGCCCCTGGGCTTTCTCTTGATGAGATAACCCCCCCACCCACCCAGGCTGGGCCCTGAGCCCCTCCCCCCCACACTCACACTTTGACCTCATCTTCCTCCTCCTCATCGGCAAACTGGAAGGCACTGGCCTGCACTGTGCGGGGTACAGGGGCGCTGCTGTCTGCTCGGGGCGCCCTCCACTCCTCATCCAGGCTCTCCCACGAGCCTTGAACTTGGGGCAGCACCCCGGCCAGCTCCTGGCGGGCGTCCATCTCCGTGTACCGGCGGCCCCCCCGGCTGGCCCTCCAGCCGGTGCCCCAGTGCCTGTTGAAGGCCATGTCAGGGGGCGCTCGGGGTCCTTCCCCCGCCTGGCTGGCTCTGCCCTCAGCCGTGGGGCCCAACCCTGCAGTTACCCCATTGGGGCAATGTCCACGGGGTGTGGGGTTTGCAGCCAGGGTCAGGGGGTTTGTGGCAGGGACAGCAGCCGGGGGGCTTGTGGCAGAGTTTGGGGTCTCGGCTGTAGGAGCTTCTGAGAGGCTCATGACCCCTAGCAGCTCGCTGAGGAGTGAGGGCCCAAGGTCGAGATCAAGGCGGAAGGACAGGAGAGAGTCCGATCGCCGGAGCTCAGGCTCCGCCACAGGGAAGGAGCAGTCTCCATCACGGTCATGGTCCCGGTCACTAGGCTTTTCCAGGCGGGGCAGGCGGGAGATGGTACAGAACCCAGAGTCCAGGCCTAGAAGAGAAATGGGGAGGTCAGAGCTGGGGTCTCGGCCGGGCACCGGTGGCTCACGCCTGTCATCCTAGCTACTCAGGAGGCTGAGATCTGAGGATCGAGGTTCAAAGTCAGCCTGGGCAAAAAAGTCCGTGGGACTCTTATCTCTGGAAGTGGTGCTCTGGCTCAAGTGGTAGGGCTCTAAACTTGAGCTGAAGAGCTGGGGGACAGCGCCCAGGCCTAGAGTTCAAGCCCCATGACCAACCAAAAAAAAAAAAAAGAGCGTGGGTCTCTAACCGGGACTTGGGTGGGGAGCACAAGACCAACTTTAACTGTGGCCTCAGTTTCTCCCATCTTCCCAACATAGGAAGCCGAAGGGTCTCCTGCAGATCCAGGGACTGACGGCTGCCACGGTCCTGCAGATGAGGGAAGTGAGGCTCACTTTGGGGTGAGGCAGGCCATGCTCAAGGGGCCAGTCTGGGATGGGGGTGGTACCGTTCCTGGAGCTCACACCTCAGTCCCACTGTAGCCACTCTATGTGCTGACCCGGGCTGCACTGAACCCAACCCAAGTGGACTGGCTTGTGGGTGTCACAGAGGCTTGGAAGGACAGACATGTGCCACCAAGGTCATCTGATCCAGCCTCCCCTCCGGGCCTCCCAGCCTAAGATGCCATAAAAAAGTCTAGGGGACAAGAAGCAGGAACAGAGCACAATGCAAGACAAGGCCACCAGGGGGCAGCAGGAGCCCACGGCTCCCAGGCAGGTGGCCCGGTACCTGGCGGGGTCGCACGCACGTGTGCTCACAGGGGAGGTCTCCCACATTTGTCAAGTTATGGGAACGGCCACTGAATCTCAGCGATACACTAAGGGACTCGTGCTACCTTGGAGAACTTGGACCTCTGGGCCCCATGTGGGACAGCGATCCCAGGTCTCACCGTAACCCGAGTGGCCATCGGTGGAGCCGGCGGGGCTGCCGTCGAAGCTGAGCTTGCCGACCACCAGGCTGTCGTAGGCGGCCTGGTTGAGCTGGGGCAGGGAGATGGCGTTCTTGATGATGGGGGAGATGGCAGGGGGGGCCGGCGAGGGTGCGGGGGGCGAGGCCGTCCTCCAGGCTGGCACCCCTGCCCGGCGCACCTGTTGCAGCTTCCTGGCCAGGAAGCTGCGGGACGAGCGGTGGGTGGCTCCGGCGCTGCCGCCGTGGTTGCTGAGGAAGGAGGTGTCCCCGAACACGTCCCCACCCCGGCCCACGTGCATGGTGTGGCGGAAGTCCCCCAGGGGGGGGCTGATCATGTCCGCCGTCAGCCGCCTCTTGCCCTGCGCGCTGGACACCCAGCCCATGGGGGACAGTTTGCCCAGGCTCATGGTGGGGGCTCCTGTGCCCCCCTGGGGGCCGGGCATGGGCGCTGACTGCTCAGGACTGCTGGTCCGCGCCCTCCCCCACCCGGGGGGGGGGCTGGGGGGAGAAGCAGGACGAACTGGGCGCCCTCCGGCTTTCTTCCTCTAGATGAAGGTGGTGGACAGTGGCTGCCTCTCAGGTCTCCCTCTAATGTGGAGGCTGTGCGGGAATCCACGGGCGGGGGGTTCTTCCCCAGGCCCTGCTCCCCGCCCTGGTGTTCAAATGAAGTAAGTCTTTCTCGTCTAGAAGCAGAGAAGGCAAGAGATGGGCCTCAAAGCTGGCAGCCCCCGTCAGGCCCGGATGGAGACCTGGAAGGAGGAAGGAGAGCTACGTGAGGCTGCTGCGGCAGGCCTGGGCACAGCAGGAAATCCTGGGCCCAAACAATCACAGCCCAAGAGAACAATCAAGGACTCCCCACAGCTTGGGCACCAGGGAGGGCCTGACGTGGATGTTTAGAAAGCTCCAGAATAGACAATCGAATGGCAATTGAAACAAGAATTTATGGCCTGCCTGGTGCTGGTGGCTAACACCAGTAATCCCAGCCACTCTGGAAACTGAGAGCTGAGGATTACAGTTTAAAGCCAGCTGGGGGGAGAAGAGGCCAATTAACCCACCAGAAAGCTGGAAGTGGAGCTGTGGCTCAAGGGCTAGAGCACCAGCCTTGAGGAGAAAAGGTCAGGGACAGTGCCCAAGCCTTGAGTTCAAGCCCCAGTACTAGCATGGAAGAAAAAAGAAAAAGAAAGCATTTGTTTGCCTTTAAGCTTACTGACAGAGGGACTCATCTCATGCACACTGTGTGTGTATGTGTGTGTGCACACGCATGCACACGCACGTGTACACGCACCTGTGCACATGCTGGTACTGGAATTTGAAGTCAGGGCCTAGGTGCTGTCCCTTAGCTGCTCAAGGCTAGGGTTCTATCATTTGAGCCACAGATCCATTTCTGGCTTTTGGGTGGTTAGCTGGAGATAAAGAGTCTGATGGACTTTCCTACCCAGGCTGGCTTTGAACTGGGATCTCAGACCTCAGCCTCCAGAGCAGGTAGGATTATAGGCTTGCCACCTCCTCCCCAGCACCAAAGTGCTATAACTTGCCTGAAGCTACTCAGGAACAAGAAGGAAACAGGGCCTCTAGCCTAGATAGAGCCGCGGAGCCACGTGACTGCCTCCTGCAGGCCCCAAGGAGCAAGGTCCCTTCCTCCTCTGGGGGTGAAAAATCTTTCCTCCCCCAGCCATGAGGGAGGAGACACCGCCAAGGCTAGGTCTGGTGAGCTAATAATACAGCCAACCAGGAGACTCCGGCCTTTAGGATGCTTGCTGGAAGGGAAAGAAAATCATGTGGTCCAAAGTGGCTTTTTCCAGCTGCTTCCAGCAAGCCAGAGCAGATTCAAGGCTCTGAGAAGGCCTGCGGGAAAAGGCTTTATCGGCCTGTCAGGTTGATGTAGGAGCTGTTGCTGGGGAACACATCTTGGAAAAAGCTCAGCCGTCCCTTGTACACTCTCTTCCTTCCTGACCCCCCACTTCCTGGCCCCACCTGGCTCTAAGCATCCCTCCATGTGTGCCGGCTTCCGAGGGAGGCAGGGCAGCTCCCAGGAGCCTCCAGTCCCACTTCCGGTTCTCTGGTGGCCCAGAAAGAGCCAAGCCAACTGAAGGCTGCACTGAGAGCTAGTTGAGACTTGAACTCAGGTCCTCTGACTCATAGAAGCTGGGGGGGGGGGGGGCGGCAAGCCCAAGTGGGGCGGGGCAGGGCAGGGCTCCCCTCTTCCCCGCTGTCTTCCCCAACACCCAGTCCAGGGGCCAGAGACCAATCAAGGCCAGCGCAAAAGCAGTCCAAGTGGGAGCACAGACCAAGGACGCAGTGTCCCCAAGGTGTGACCGTCCCCAAGGTGTGACCTTTGCTGATAAGAAACAGGAACACCTGGAATCTCCAACTTTTCCCTCCCCCAAACCTCCATAGTATAAAAATCTCAATACATGG